CAATACTAAGTCTAAATGTGCAAAATGAACCCATGGTAAAATGTTTCTATAAATTCTGTGTGAAAAATGCAATATTATTAATAAACAACAATAGTCGTAGTAATAATATCAATAATAATTGCAAAATTATAGTCATGATAAACTGACACAATGAAATAAAACAAAATTATGGGGATTAGAGAAATCTGTTCGGAATATACAATAAGGACTGAATTTAAACCTCTACGTTGCACCTTAGCGAAAATTAACCATCCACACAGGTTTATCGAAGGAAAAATGAGAGAAAAACTTCCGCCACCGCGAGTTTCAACTGTTCCCGAGGATATTCAAAGGTTACACTGAAGCAGAAAGTCTTAGAAATCGTCTATCCAAATGTCATCAGAAGTCACTTTAAGCAGTCATCTTACGTATCACATTCTTCAGCAGACAGTTCATCTATTCATGAGTTAAAGATACAATACAGCTTTCAGCCCCTTCAGCGACTATCATGAGTTTACTTGTTTCTCAAGAGCAAAGTATATCGGCTGAACATAATATCATTTCCACAAACATATTCTGGAATACTGTCCAGTATGGCTAGCTAGAGGAGAGAAGAAGAACACCAGTAGTTCTATCCTCAGATACCTTGTGAAATCTAGACATCAAGTATCCCTGCATGAATGCTTTAAGTACTACATAGAGTTCATGAATATCATAGACTTCAAATACATCATTTATAGACAGCTGAATGACAGGCTACTCGTGACCGGGAAGCGAACCTCTGCATTCAAAAGCACTGCATACTCTCAATAGCCTAACCATGGTCAGAGTAACTTGCTTACTATAATTTTGTTTCATTTCAATGTTTCAGTTTACTATGATTATTATTTTATAATTATTATTGTCATTATCACTATCTCACTATTGTTGTTTATTAACAACATTGAATTTTTCACACAGAATTTATAGAAACATTTTACCATCTCTATATTGTTTATTGTTCATTTCACGCATTTAGACTGAGTATTGATTCTCCTTACAAATTACCTAACTCCAACTTCTGTCTCGATTTTCCAAGCTATACTTAGTCATTCGCTTCTAGACAATGCCTTCCAAGTCACAGTACATTTACTAGAACAACAACTGCCATTTCTGAGGAGTTCTATGAATATTTTTTTTTTGAATATAAAATGTGGTTGCACAAATCTTGTGGAAAATATTTTGTTGATGAGAGGGTTTTCTTGGTTTCTGGAATCTTCTTTTGTTTATAAGACATATGAACATTAGAATAAGAGAACAAGTAGTTCAGCAAAAATGTTGATCTTTTCAGCGATTTCATTTTTTGAAAAAGCTGTACAATCATATTTATATGCATGATTTTACATGGGTACAATTCTTGATATAAGAATAAAACTTGTGCACTGTGGCAGAGTGTAATTCCATTATGGGTGAATTTTGTTTTGATAAAGTCTCACAGTGTTATACAGTAATGTTTACTGATGACCAAGTTTCGAGCACAATTTATTGCTCATAATCATATCAAGGTAATCACACGACTTCCTAAATTCATTTATATAGTTCCATTGTTTTTCTCTTGATTTTCACTTGATTTGATTGGTAATAGTATTTTCCATATTTCACGTATGAGTGACGAGTCATTCCCAATGCATGTGTTGGGTGTAGACTCGATGAACAAGGATTCAGTAATCAACCTCTCTCTCCACCTACCTAGATTACTTTTTAGAATTTTAACCCTCTCCCACCCATTGTACTGTGTGGTTGTGTGTTAATGCATGCATTGCAATTGCTGAGCTTTTTTCTAAATTACTTATCTTCTCGGGGTCAACCATTCTCACCTTAGCTAAATTCTTATGCTCTGACAATCTGACTACCCCTGACCTACTAGTTTGACCTATGTAGTTGACCTCACAGTCATTGCATATTATTTTGTCCAATTGGGTCAAATGGGTCCTTTAACCTACAGAGCTTGTCCCTGAGTGAGTTTCTAGGTTTAAATGCCACCCTAATTCCTATTTTATTCAGAATCCTACGTAGTGTCTCAGATGTCTCCTCTTTATATGGTATAACTGTGGATGACTTATATTCTTTCTTATCTATGTTATTATTACTAGTTTCACAATTATTTTTATTTTGTTTTTGGCCTTTATTGATCTCCCTAATGAATTTTATAGGATAGTTATTCAACACCAACGCTTCTTCTATCTGTTTTAATTCATCATTTAGATCTTTTTTTGTGCTACTTAGTGCCACTGCTCGGTTTGTTAAACATTTAACTAAGCCTGCCTTAACAGTTAACGGATGAGACGAATTAAAGTCTAAATATCTATTAGAATGCATTGGTTTTCTATAAACACTAGTGTGTAGTTTGCCATCTTCTATTCTTTTTATCTTACAATCTAACATAGGTAATTCGCCAACATTCGCCAACTTGACAACAAAAAAACGACCCAGACTGACGAACGATGATCAAGTATTTCACAACCTACACTTAGTTTGGTTACCTTTACCTATTCTCCAACTTGACAACCTAAATTACATTACTGTATAACACTGTGAGACTTTATCAAAACAAAATTTACCCATAATGGAAGGTACAATTGCATGTTTGATTCCACATAATTACGACGACGAATAAAAGGTGATAATTATTTTCAACTAGATATGGTTTTTACGAAAGGCTTAGAAACAAAATTAACACAGGATTAGAACGGATAACATTATGTTTCCGACTTCGCAATATTCATCGAGAAGCCGGAGCTGTGTGTCTAGAAGAAGTTAGTTCAACCTCTACAACTACCATGGACGACCTAGTTCGGTATGTCCCTTAGTTTCCGTTTTTTCATCTTCTTTCGTTCTCTTTTTCCTTTTCGATCTTTTTTCGTTCGCTGTGTGTGTGTGATTCTTACTCCCTTTGTCTTCATTCGATCACTCCCATTTTTTCAGTTATATAAACAATTATTTTAAGTTTGTTTCTATGCTTTTCCTGCTCCAGTTTATGATAACTCTTTAACAAGTATATCTTCATTTTCAAGTATTGGTTTTGTAGGGATTTTGTTTGATTGCATGGAGGATTTAATCATGAGCTGACATCAGTTAGAGAACCACTGGAAAACCTGGGAGTACTGGACAGCTGTTTCCTCGTCCTAGTTTGGGACTCTTCAGCAGTACGCACCCACCGAGATTCGATTAAATCCTCCATGCAATCAAACAAAATCCCTACAAAACCAATACTTGAAAATTAATCTGTGCACACTAGTGACTGGCCCTATTCGGGCAGTTAACCTGTGGTTCTAGTGGGAAGCCGTGACCAGTAGGGTACAACAGGTTGAAGATGAGGCAGTAACTCATCGAAGAAGACATTGCGAAGTGGTCGCGCTATGTCGTGAATTGGCAGAAGTTAGAATTCAAGGACTGACCATTGGATCGGGTCCCAGTGGCTCAATGGTCCACGAGCTAGCTCGTCTTGTAACCAGAAGGTCCTGGGCTCGAACCCTGGCAGCGGGTGCTCACTGGTGAAGAGTCTTAAACTAGGACGGAGGAAACAGCTGTCCAGTACTCCCAGGTTTCCCAGTGGTTCTCTAACTGGTGTCAGCTCATGATTAAATCCTCCATGCAATTATATCTTCATCCTGTGCAATTTTGTGTTTCTAAGGCTATTGTAATCTATATTCACTTTTCCTAATTTCCATTAAAAGTTAAAATTTTTAGTTAAATTTTGTTCCCATGCTCATTTTTTACACACTTATTGTCATCCATTCTAATCCTAATCTAATTTTGTTTCTAAGCCTCTCGTAAAAAACCATATCTAGTTGAAAATAATTATGACCTTTTATTCGTCGTCGTAATTATGTGGAATCAAACATGCAATTGTATCCATGTAAAATTATGTATATAAATGCGATTGTACAGCTTTTGCAAAAAATGAAATCGCCGAAAAGATCAACATTTTTGCTGAACTACCTGTTCTCTTATTCTCATGTCCATATAACATATGAATTGTCAAGGAGTAACAACAGATAGCTGTTTTGGTGCTAGTTTGGGAGCTCTTCATCAGAACCCACCGACAGGGGTTCGAATTCAGGACCTTCCAGTTAAGAGGCTTTCTTGTAGACTATTAAGCCACTGGGATCCAACGGAAAAGTCCATGAATGTCAACTTTTATCAATTCATGAGGATAGTTCCTTGCCTGTTATACGCCCTCTGAATAGCGTTTTATTTTTTGCTGCAGCGAACAACTCCTCACACAACAAAATATTGTTGACAAAAAGGTTTCTTCATGCTAACATAGTAATATATATATTCACACAACTCAACGTTAATAGTAATTAGCATCATAATAATTTTTAACTGTTTGTTAGCAGAGATCTGAGTGATCCAAATTTCGATTGCAAATGGATATCAGTTAGAGGGTCTTTAAAAACTAAACAGTACTTGACAGTCGTTTCATCCTTGTTAGAGCCTCTTCAGTAGTTGACTAATTAACAGAATTTAGAGTTCATGGAGTGCGTCGGTGGCACAGCGATAGAATGCTCGCCAACAACGCCACAGGTGATCCGGCATTCGATCCTCAGCTGGCTCATTCATTTACCTTCCTCAACCCAGTAATAAGATTGGTAAAGAAGTAAGGTTCATCTGGGCATGAGACTAGCAACCCTATCCAATGAAAATGAACACCACTGTTACAGAAACTTGAAGTCTGTAGCTTGAAGCCCTATGTTCCATTGGAAACCTAAAGGGATAAAAAATAATTCATGGCCAGTAAGATTCTATGTCAGTAGCTGGATGCTCAACATTTTTGCCTGAAGCTCTGAAGGGTCTACGTTCGACCCATTGTGAGGTGATCGACGCGTACAATTGAATATTACTTAAATAGGATTAAAAAAACACCTCTTCAGTACTTTCTGGTTTCTTAATAGTTCTCTCTTTAACTGACAACATTTCACACAATCTAATTTGAAATCATAGTAATTTTGCAAGAAAAAAATTCAAAGGTTACTTACTGTATTCAAATGTTCATTCAAGTGTATAATTAAATGAGGTACATCAAACGCTTTACTCAATGATTGATGTGATGTTTGAAGATATTTTCTGCACCAATCTGTAGGATTTGCTGCACCATGGATAGCATGACCATTGACCAGATGATAAGAGACAATACCAACCAGAATAATTAACAATGTCATGTTGTTCACATGAAGAATATCACTTCTTCTTGAAAAAGATTTCTTCATCTTGGTTGGGAGCTGTTTTTTTTATAAATGTATCCTAAGTTATTTCGAAATATTCATATATATAAGCTGAATGTCTGTCGAAATTATCAGCGGTTAAATGTTCAATATGTCGGAGGGAGACAGAGAAGGCGGTCAGTTCAAGAAGGTACGTTCAAAAGTTAGTTTTCGTTATAAACATTACTTTTCTGGAAGATACTATCTTGTTGTTACTTCTGTAATACTCTTCCGAGGTACAGAATACGATAAAATGTGAAATGAAGTGAAATGGAAAATGAAGTATTGTCAAATAAATAAATAAATAAATTTGTAATACTGTTCATTTCATTTAATTACCGGAAGTTATAATTACCTTTTAAATCATTATAATGAGAATACTGGAGTACAACAAGCTTTTGCCAATTTGGTAAAAATTATAAACTTTCTAGTTTAATAATGAATGGTCTGTATATATGATTACTGACAATATAGATGGGCATTTTATTGTAATTTTATGGAAAGAAAACTGAACATAATCGTCAATTGCTTATGTTCTGTTTAATCAGTCAGTAGTCTGATTTAGATATAAACGCTATTTTCTGCACCTCATTTTCTGCTAAACTGTCCAATTACTCGTAAGCTGTCATCTCCTTCACGTTACACCTAAAAACCCATCCTTTCGCTCCTTATTCAGGTCCTACTAAAGGGTCTTGCACACATTCCTTTGGCATAGACTTTAGATAACAGGTTCCTGGTTAGTTCTTTGCAAGTGTTCTTTATTGCTTAACTCCTATTTCTGAATCGACTAAAAAGCAGAAATTGGACATCTTTTTTGCATTTGATAAGTGCAGTAGACTGCCATCCTAATTATAGATAAATAAACGCTTTTTCAAGTATTGATTTTGCAGGATTTTGTTTGATTGCATTGAGGATTTCTAATGGGAAGGCGTGATTAGTGGGGTGCAGCAGGTTGGAGATGAGAGAGTAAGTCATCGAAGAAAAAGACATTGCGAAATAGTCACGCTATGTCATGAATTGGCAGAAGTTAGAATTCAAGGAACATTGTATCGGGTCCCAGTGGCTCAATGGTCTACGAGCTAGCTCGCCTTGTAACCAGAAGGTCGTGGGCTCGAACCATCTGTGGCGAATGCGTACTGATGAAAGTCCCAGACCAGTTGGACGAAACAGCTGTCCAGTACTCCCAAGTGGGTTTCCAGTGGTTCTCTAACTGATGTCAGCTGATAATGAAATCCTACATGTAATGAGCGCTTGTCTGTCTTAATTTTCTGATCCTGAGTGCCGTTGAAATCGTCAGCTGTCCGGCACGCCTATAGTTGGAACAATTCTACCTAAATATGCGAAAGAGGTGACTCAATGTAGATTGTTTCCAATGATTCTGACTGATGCAGATACCACATGAATTTATCAAGATCTTGTATTTTAGTTGTTTTTTATACATTGAAATCACATAATTTGAAAAATCAAAATTTAAGACAGAAAAATGAACACTGATTATCTTAGCAGTTTTATTGCCATTATTGTCTCACTAGCAATTATGAGTTCTTAATGAGCATATTTTTATAGCTAGACCATTAGTCATTTAAGTTGTAACGAACAACAAGTTGCAACGAACCTGTCCCACTAATCTCACATTATCTATTAGTCGCTAAAACAGCAAAAAACTCAAGATTGCATATTAGTGAACAACCAAGGTTTCACCGACGAACGACTGTTTGGGATACAGGATAGACATAGTGTTGTCCAAACACCAGAGTAGGATCTGTTAGCTTGCAAATTTTCATATAATGTTAATTCGTCATGTAGGAGATCACTGTCAAGACAAATTTTAAGACATTTGATTTCCGTCAATCCGAATGATAATATCTCTAACTATAAGCATCCTGCGTTTTTTAATCGGTGATGTGATTACTGGTAATTTTGTTAATTACTACAACAAAAAGTTGCTTAGTAACGAACGCTATAACATACATAAATGTTGATTTTTATAATTCTCACCGGTCAACAGTTGGGGATTTAATATGGAGGGCATTCACACTGTCAGGCGTCTTATTTATGATTTACTACTGTTTATAAAAGTTAATTGCGAATTAGTTGTCTTCTCTCTGAGCTGACTGATTTATTGCGAAGCTTTCGTCGTCTTCCTTCTGGACAACAGCTTCAGCGCAGGTTTTCGCACGGAATGAATTCATTTAAATTCTCCATGAATGATTTAAATGATATCGGGATTAATAGCTGAAGTGGTTATGCAAATATTCGAATTAATAGCTCTACGTGTAATTAAACCTAAAATCCGAGTACGTTATGATGATGGTATATTTGTAACAATTGAAAGGAAACAACAAATTTGAAGATGTCAAATTCACAAGAGAAGAAGAATTAGACAACCAAAATTCCTTTATCAGATGTCTTAATCAGGAGAACCAACACAGGAAATTTAGAAACACATTATTACTATTTCCTTTAGTTCCTAGAGGAGCATAAGGCTTCACTCGGACATCTCCATTGCGTTCTCTTCTCTGACAACGTTTCCACCTGGCGACACGTCTGACCACATGCTTTCATCTCCTCTACACATGACTTCCTCCATGTCACACTCGGACTGACGACCAACTAACCACTTCCAATTCAGCTTCCGCTCGAGTGATGGCCTAGTGTAAGATGTCACTCACTTAATGGTTTGTTTTCTCAGAGTATGGACAATCCACATCCATTTCTTCCTGCATATTTGTTGGTTCCTGCTATGTTGGTTAGCTCACTGACAGAGATCCCTACCTGTTGCTGATCTTTTCTGGCTGGCATTCTGATCTTGAACAAAATACTGAGCGAAGACAGTTGTTGATGAAGGTGTGTAGTTTGTTTCAGGTGTTCTTCATGATGCGCCAAGTCTCTGATCCGTACAGTAAGTAGCACTAACTTCACATTGGAGTTGAAAATTCTGATCTTATTTTTCATTCTGAGTAGTACTGTTTACCTCCAAACTGACGTCTCCTTCACACACAAACGCAAGTATATAGAAAATCAACGCACACACAGAAATCAAATACTCAACTATAACAATAATAAGTCAACCCAATTACCCGCTAAAGAAACTCTATGCAGACATTGTTCAAAAGAGTTCAAACGTACACTGTAGCACTCCAGTGTTGCAAATAATGGAAGAAAATTATCAACTAATCATTTTTAAAAGGATCGGATATCCTCAGAATTTCATAAAAATGTTTTAAACTGCAGTTATAACACAAACAACAAGCAAACATCAAAGATTACGAGAAAATTCATTCCATCATATATAAAAATACCTCTGAAATAACAGCCAGAATATTAAGACCGCTTGAAATACATATAGCACACAAGCCAGTCAGTACAATTACTTCATTCGATATTCCTCGAACCAAAAGATCCAACAGGAAAAGAGGATAAAATTAGTACCATTTACAAAATAAATTGCATGTATGAACTGTAATACACATTATATCAGTCAAAGTGGGTGTCCCCTTCGAATATTGATTCAAGGACACAAATTAGCTGTGAAAGGACGTGATATATGTATTATTTAATATCAGTGTTTGGGGATAGTTAGTGATAACAATTTGATTTGGATAATGTGGACATTTTAAATAGAGGAAATAACGAAAATGCAGTCAGGGGATTTCTAGACGCCTGGTACTAAAGTGAATCAGACAGCGATTAAAAACATATTACCATGAACCAAGTTTACCAGCTATTATTATTATTGTTGTATCCTTTAGTTTCTAGAGGAACATAGGGCTTCAGCTGCGCACCTCCATTGCCTTCGGTTTTCTGACAACTTTTTCACCCCGCTCCAGGTCTGTCCACATGCTTTCATCTCCTCCTCGCATGACCTCCTCCAAGTCACCCTTGGACGACCAACTCACCGTCTCCCCTTCGGGTTCCACTCGAGGGCTTGTCTTGTGATGTCGCTTGATGGTTTCCGCGGCGTATGGCCAATTCATCTCCATTTCTTTCTGCCTATTTGTTTCACAATCGGTTCCTGATTGGTTCACTCCCACAGATCCCTGTTGCTGATATTTTCTGGCCATCTGATCTCGAGTATTGAGCGAAGACAGCTGTTAATGAAGGTCTGAAGTTTGTTTGAGATGCTCTTTATTACGCGCCAAGTCTCTGATCCGTATAGTAGCACTGACTTTACATTGGAGTTGAAAATTCGTATCTTGTATTTGATGATGAGTGCTGTTGACCTCCACACAGATTTGAGAGTAATGAAAGCTTGTCTTGCTTTTCCGATTCTGGCTTTGATATCCTCGTCAGTTCCGCCTGGTTGTAGTTGAGACGATGCTTCCCAGATAGATGAAGGAGACTCTTTCTTTCAGGTTCTCCCCACTTATGTTGATTGTTGTCTGTTGTTGTTGTTGTTGCTGTTGATGTTGGCTAGGAATCTTCATCACCTCTGTTTTATCTTTGTTCACTGGAAGTCCTATCTTTGATGTTTCTTCTGCCAACTTGTTACTTTTCACTTGCATATCTTCCAGTTTGTGGGAAATCAGACATATATCATCGGCGAAATCCAGATCCTCCAAGTCTTTTGTGTCAGTCCATTTTATGCCTGTTCCCTCGTTGGTTGCCGTTGTCTGTCGCATTATCCAGTCTACTGCAATCAGGAAGATCATTGGTGATAGTAGACAGCCTTGCCTCACTCCCGTCCTCACTTCGAAGGCTTCCATAAGTTTCCCAGCTAATGAAAATTAAATTACATGACAAGAAACTTTAGAAGTCAAGACAAAATAATGATCAGTAGAGACCTATATTAACAACTAGTCACGAGAATGGTCACCAGAAGGTATAATTATACGATTAGAGATTACCATACTTAAGCATAGAGGGATTAAGACCATGAAAGTTGAAGGGGTTGAACGAACTTTTTCTGTACACAGAGATCTGGCTTTACTGTTTCGATAGCCAAAGCTTCAGCAATACAGGTGAGTCGGGTAAGTAGTGATTTCGGTAATTTACTTTCTGCCTTG